TCTGCGATCAATCCTGAGCGATCCTTCGCTAAGTCCCACTTGGGATCGTAACACCTTTAGACACGTGCTTAAAGACGTATACTGCGGAGAGAAACTATTTTACGGTGGGAGCTATACTACGGGGTACGCACGGGCTGTGAGAATGACCGTGGCGTTCCTTGCGTTCTCTAACACCTATACCTTCGCAGAGCAAAACAGCAAGAGTTTCGCTAGGAAATTTTGGAATACAAATTGAACAAGCAACGGCAATAATGAGTACATCTGATGCAACGTTTGCTAGTGTATAGGCAGGTCGACCGCCAGCGCAGTCGCCGACTGGCCAGCGCAGTTGCAACGTAGCAAGTCTGCGGCCCGCCAACGCAGCTCATGGCCGACATGCCAACGCTGCAGAATTGCGGCCTGCCAACGCTGCACCAGAGCGGCTTGCGAACGCTGCAGCAGTGCGGTCTGCGAGTATTGCTTCCGCATGTAATTGTAAGCGTATGCGCGTGCACCTAAAGGCAGTTCCCGCACGACAAGCTCATTCGCGTACATTGCGCAAGTGCCAAGTCGGCCGCATCTCGACAGTTCCGCCTGACTGTTTAAATGAATCTAGGCCTTAAGAGACTTAGGAGCCATAGCTAGGGAGTTACGAGAGTTACGGTACGAGAGGGAAGGGAGAAGCATAGCTAGCCAACAAATGAGGGGTTTCACTATTAAGAAGGAGGTACAAATATGAAAGAAGCAAGGTATACGATCAGCAGATAGATGTAATACTACACTACAGCTACAGCTACATGCAGTTATGTATACATATATAAACATATATAATTTGACACTAACGAGCCACGTCGACCACGTGCTGCCACGCTGGTTGACTTCGCCAGAGCAACCTCGACGGCGTTCGCGCACCTCCGCAAAACATCGTTGAGCGGGTACCTCGGTCGACAGGATTCTCTGGAGCCCTCTGGGTCGGCGAACTCCGTCGTCGACCATGATCGAAGTTGGTGCCCACCCTGGTCGACGAACACCTTCGTCGACCAACCACGTCGGAAACCGCACACGACCTCCCAACGTCGATGGCTTTGCGATGGTCCCGCGCATGTCGACGAACTGCTTCGTCGACAATCTTCGTCGATCATCCTCGTCGACCACCTTCGTCGACGGTGTCATTGTTAACGGGAATGGAGTGTTGGCCTCGCTTGGGCAACGCCAACGACTTGGTCGGATGTACGGAAGTAGCAGTCGACCGTTCACAGTGGGAGAGCTGCTCGACAGGCTTCGTCGAGCTGCAGGAGACCGCTGTAGTGTTGCTGTCGACCAAGGAGCTCGACTGCTGCAACTGACTGGTCTGGGCGACGGGTGGGCCGTCGACCAGGAGGGGCATTTCGACCGGGAGGTCGACGGAGCAGTCCGTCGACCTGACAAGTGAGTAGCGGTCGACGAGGTGAGCTCGGCGACAACCGCCGACCAGGGGGCAGCTCGACAGGAGCTGTGGTCGACCAGGAGCACCTGGTGGTCGACCAGAGGCACCCGATGGTCGACCAGAGGCAGTGGTGGTTGACCAGAGTACCTGGTGGTCGACCAAGTCGACCGGATAACCTGCTCTACGAGTTCTGCGGAGGCACGCGAATGTCGTCGAGGTCGCAATGGCGATGGCGACTTTGGGCTGGTATCCCGAAGTCGATGTGGCTCGTCAGGCGCAGACAACAGCCGACGGATGCACAGCAATGCAAGTCGGGCCAATCGTCTGCGCGCACCTGCAAGCATGCACGCTGCTATCTTCTACGGGGTAACGCTGGACAGCCGCTCTGCTGCAGCGTTGGCACGCCGTCGACCTGCAGTGTTGGCAGGTCGCCTTTCTGCAGTGCTGGCGCGGCTCCTCTACGGAACGCTGGCAGGCGGTCGACCAAGCTGTGCTGGCGGTCGACCAAGCTAGCTGCAGAGTTGCTAGGTGCCTGATGTAGTCACTGTTGTCATTCCTTGTACGACCTTTTTCTGTAATTTCGACTTTGCCTAGTGGAAACTTTTGCCGATCTCTCCCATGAATGTGCAAGCACTAAGGAACTAAGCAGAGTTACGATCACTCCTAGTAGTTCGTGCCAACCCCCGTAGTCTAGCTCACCACCGTTGTAGAGTGAATCTCCGCAGTCATAGTGGTCCCGCCCAGGTCGACCATGCGGAGCGTCACTATACAACGGGAGTGGATTTTGGAGAAAGGCACGGGGTTGTGCGAGTGTTCGTAGTGTTGCACTAGCGTTCTCACTACTTGTTGTGCTCACAAAGGAATTTGGCAAGAAATTGAGAAGAACATTGATTGTAATGAAAGATGGAAGTCGACATAGCTAGAATGACATTGCAACACCTGGCATTGCATATTGGCACGTGTCGACGGTTTCGCCACCCGTACATCGTCGAGCACGTAATGCCGTTCCGCATGTCGACTTCGCGAAAACCTCATGAACGGCATTCGCCCACACGACGGATTTCGCAGTCACACGACTTCCGTCGATTAGCTCGACGAATGATCTTTCGAAGAGCTTTTGCCGAGACGAGCTCGTCGAGCAGGGCCCGTCGACAAACACTCCTAGACAGGCCTCGTCGATCAGCACCTCTCTGCAGGCTCGTCAACCAGCATACTGTAGAAAAAGGCCGATCCGTCAGCTGTAGACATATAGGCTGTACACATCCACGCGAGGTTTCTCGCAGCGCAGGGAAAAGGGCTCGACTCGAGATGGTAAAACGTATAGAGTGCGATCTCACGAAGGAACTATACCAGATTTTGTCGAGGAAAGGTTCGCAAAGTAGGGCGACAAGGTTTAGAGGTAGAAGATATGAAGATGTTCGGCCAAAAAAACATGGGCTAAAACCCCCGAACCTTTGGTTTTGTCTAATTTCGACAAGAATAATAGTACGCCATAATGTATGGAGTTAATGATAAGACATGGTATAAGCGCAAGGCTTTCCATACGACTGAAGGTATTTATATGAACACAATATAGGTATGCACTTATTTCTGACTGAAGGTATTTATACCAGGTAAATGCCACACTTTCACAATCGGCACTCTGAATGATGCATTGGTGTGTATGAGTAACAAAGGCGTGTACGTGATTATGACTATTCTGAATCACAGTGCAGTGTAGGTTTTTTCCATCGCTCACAAGGGATTGTTTGCTGACCGCACAAGGGCCAATGAACGCCTGGAAGGGATTGCTCAGTTGAACGAAAGGGTTCCAACCTTCAGCTGAGCAGTGCATTTCTTTGCTTGCAAATTTCAGCTGGTATCCGAGATAAGGACTTCATTCCAAGCAGTCAACAGACTTTCTGCTGTTCAGTCTTCATCTCAATCAAGCTGCCATCATGTCGGGTGTTTTCAATGGCGATGAGACTGCTCCCTTCTTCGGCTTTATGGGGGCTTCCGCAGCTCTCGTTTTCTCATGTAGGCACATAGCGGCGAAATCTTTGCTTGATCCTGATCCGGGCATTTTCACCCAGATCCTTTGCATTACTGTGCTAATCTGATTCCGCAGCTTTAGATCCAAGCGTGTAACCTGTGCTGATGCTATTTAGCTTTGTTAACCCGTTTACAGGCATGGGAGCAGCTTACGGCACAGCGAAGAGTGGCGTCGGTGTTGCATCCATGGGTGTTATGAGGCCTGAACTCGTCATGAAGTCCATTGTTCCCGTTGTTATGGCTGGTGTGCTTGGTATTTACGGCCTTATTATTGCCGTTATTATCAGCACGGGTATTAACCCTAAGGCCAAGGCCTATTACTCTTTTGATGGTTACGCTCATCTGTCTTCTGGGCTCTCTTGCGGTCTGGCGGGTCTCGCTGCGGGCATGGCCATTGGGATTGTCGGTGACGCTGGTGTCAGGTGCGTATTTAGGGATCGGATCTGAGCAGATTGGCAAGGTGATGCATTTTTGCTGGTGTCGCGGTTTCACTTCGGCATTCTGACCCTTGGCCTTGTTTTTTTGCAGAGCTAACGCTCAGCAACCCAAGCTTTTCGTCGGCATGATTCTTATTCTCATTTTCGCTGAAGCTCTTGCCCTGTATGGCCTTATTGTTGGTATCATTCTGTCGTCGCGTGCTGGCCAGTCTCGCGCCGATTAGGCACATGTTCACAATGACAGCTTTGCGGTTATCCTGAGTGTACCAAGCTTGGTTGCCCTTGTTCAGTGTTCAATATACGGAACTGTAAGGTTGGAAGTAGCAGACTTTCCTTGAGTGGTAGTTTTTAAGTTGATACCGGTAGTGTGTAATGACCTTCTTGGTGGTGCTATGAGATTCGCTCGAACCCAGATTATCTCCAACCTGCCACTCGAACCCAGATTCTTATCTCACCGTGCACCAGTGTGCAACAATTGTGGTTGCCGTGGTGGTGCATCAATTGTTAGTGGAGTGAATGGGTTGGTTCATTTTGCATGCTGGTTCTGGTCTGGAGGTTCTGGTCAGGAACCCGGATCCAGAGTCCTGACTGCAGCAAGCTTTTCATTACTGCATACTCGTCACAGCCGTTACAGCAAGGAAGCCACACCACGAGAGGATGAATAAGCTAAATGCTAACCAAGCCCATCCCCTGGCACCCCCAAGTTCCCCACCAGCGAGGTTGCGCCTCAAACCCATGATGATAACGAATACTACGGTGGTGCACAGGAAAGCTATGACTGAAACCTCCAGATTTAGAAGGTGTGGGACAAACAGCGAGTCGCCAGAAACTGCCTTCTCATAACCCGCCTTGATCAGCCATGCTAGGCCAAGACCCACGAAGACATTCACGGCATTTGAACCAGTAATGTTTGCGATGGCCACATCAGCAGAGGGTGACAGTCTGGCAGCCGTCCTGCTCGCGAGGAGGTCAGGCACAGAGGTCCCCTGGTATGGACACGGGTGGTTTGGGACAAGGGAGGAGAACGCAGGAAATCATTAATGTGAAAATTGAAAGAGCAGGCAATGAAGCAATAGTGGCGCAAAATGCTACAGAATTACTCAAGGCATCAGGAATACAACTGCAACTCACTCCTCAGAAAAACTTACACTAGCCACGAAGACAATGGCAACCGAGAAGAGGTGCAGGCCTGATGTGCACGCAAACAGCCTCGCAAACTCCTCAATCAGAAAAGAAATGCCAGCCATGAAGCACAGACCTGCAAGAGTTAACACACGGAAGTGAGCTTACAGCACATACCAGTACCAGCACATACCCAGCACAGTTTGTTTGATAAAACGTACAGTAAACCTTTATCTGCAGCCCCTGGATAGCGGCTGTCTAACTCCACTCACAGAGGATGAAGGCTGGCCAGCCACGCATGAGGGAGGGTGGAGGGATGAGTGAGAACAGGAGCTTCCAGTAGAAGGAGATGAAGTGGATTCCAAGGCCCAGCAGTGACACGTCTCTCTGGTGACCTGACAGTGGGACCTGAGAGATATTCAAAACGCCAAACAGAGTCAGCTACTACAGGTAGAAAAAGACACCCACTCAAGACCAGACGCATTTCAGTCAGCTGATATACGTAGCCTACAAGGCTGGGGTGGAATCATGACAGGGCAAGGTAGGATGACCTACCGAAATTGCCCTTTCGATCTGCTGCAGCCAAAGCTCGCCCAGTCCGGGATTGCTTGGAAGGGAAGACAAGGTCGGCTCTCTGCATGTGCTGAGCCCACCCAGCCCCAGTCCTGGTAAACAAAAGTTAGAAACTGAAATGGATTAACGCATGCCGCGAATGAAACAAAACACAAACGCCCAAACGCGATAGTGCAGAACAAAAGAAACAGCCACGTGCTGTGATAATTGGTTCAGCTTGAGGTGTTGGTTGAGAGCACAACAAGGGAGAGAAGAACATACCACACTGTCCCAGCAATGCCAAGCGCAGAGCCAGCACACTGATTGTCACCTCCACCTCCTCAATTCCCTCCCCTGCTTCCACTCGCACTCCCATGTGTAGCTGTGCCCTCACGTCTCCCTCCACGCTGCACCCTTCCTCCCCACACCCCCACCTCCGCCCTGCGCCACTTGTGTTGTCAAACAACAAAGAAGACGTGTACGCAGTGTGTGACTGTGTTGAAGCGGGTGCCAGTGAAGCAACTGCTGTAAACCAAGGAGACTGTGATTGTAACGAGCGTTCCGTGGGGGTCACAGATGCGTTGACAGCCCCAGCGGATGCTGCTGAGCTTGACTGCAGCGGTGGTGACGTGGCATGGGGGTTTGATGTGGACGGCTGTCGTGCATGCGTGCAGATGCTGCTGGCTAGGGAAGGGCAGTGAGGAACGGTGAGCTCCAATTGAAGATGCAGCGCTTCTGCAGTGTGCACCCGGCTGGATGGGAGGGCAGAGTAGAGACAGTGGGAATAGTCGGAAATGAATCTACAATCAGAAGGAATGACTGATCATCTGAGACACCCAGATGCATCGGATAAAACATTGTAGCTAATTTTGTCTGAGACTCACAAGTGGAGGGCCTGGACAGGAGAAGGGGTGGTGCAGCTTGCAGCACTGCTGCCGGCTCCGTTGGTGTTTGCAGGAGTGTGCTCAAACCGGCACACCTCCCTCTCTCCTGATTGCGCCAGCAATGTCCAGTGCTCTGAAACCCATGTGGGTTCATCGGGTTTAAAAGGAGTGTAGAACCGAGGAGGGGAAGCAAGGAACAGGAGCGGGAAGGGAAAGAATGTCTGAAATGAAAGCGCGAATATGGAGGGAGATGACTAGCAAGATGAGCACGAGAAGGCAAAAGTAGATTTCGATTTTGCTTCTGGGAAGAGATTGGTAACCAGAGAGTCCTCGTGAGCCCACCTTGTAACAGATCCACAAACTGCCCGCCGTCTGCAACCAGCCCCACTCGCTCATCACCAGCCACCCCTCCTCCACTTGCATGCCCCTCCGCCTTCTCCTCTTCCTCCCGGTGTTCCCTCTGCTGCCGCTGCTTCTGCTGCTGCTGCGCTGGGTTGAGAACGAGCGGGGCTGGGGAGGCAAGGGGTGTAGGTCGGACGGCGGGAGCTGGCGAATGAGAGAGGCCAGGGAGCTGTGAGCGCAGCCAGAGATGCTGCCCCAAGCGGCGCGAGCTGAGAGCGAAACAGAGGAAACAAGAGCGAGAGTTGGGTAAGCGAATGAGCGGGACTTGTGCGGACACAGGATGAGAAGCGGGCGTCGTTGTGAAGGCACAAGGGTGGAACATACCAAGGAACAGGAGAAACCTGTCAAAGCTTTAAGGCCAGTGCGGATCAAGTGGCTGGGCATGGCAACTGGTGAGATGAATCAAGAAGCGCCTCACTGAGCCACGTACAGGGACTGGTCGGGTGAGTCGTGCTGCATGGCAGCAGCAGTGGACATTCCAGCAGCTGACCGGCGCCGCAGGTTGCTACTGCTGGACCTCTGCGGCACTGCAGACACTGCTGTCACTGCCGGCAATGCTGGTGGTACGTTGAGGGAGTAGGACCTAGAGCCTGGGGGAGAAAGGGACGAGAGGGACAGGTTGTCATGACTATTTCGCATACAGTTGAGAGCCTGTGCTGTGCATACAGGAAGAAACAGGTAGTACCTGGTTCAACTCTTCCTCCCTCAGCTGTGACCGGCTCCATTGAAATGCCCTCTGATGCTTCCTCGTGTTGCTGCTGCTGCTGCTGCTGCTGCTGCTGCTGCTGCTGCTGCTCGGATTCCACCCGCCCCTGTCAGCCCACCACCCACCCACACGTTATCCAACAATCAGCACATACAGTAATCAGGGTGCATGAAGTCTCAAATGCCCAGCTCACAGCCGCTCTCCACATCCTAGCCACATACACTCGCCACACCCACACACAACCACCACACACACCCAACCACCTCACACTCCCCGCAACCCAAACCCCAACAGCCACACACTCACCACGTGCTCCCAGTCACTCAGATCCGAGCTCCCATGTGACCTCTGCCCACCCCCCTCCACCGCCTGCTGCTCCCCTGTCCCCTCCTCCGCGCCTCCCACCGCAATGCTCATGCTTGCTGCGTCCGCCCCCCTCTGCATTTCCACCTCTCCCTGCCCTCCCCCCACCACTCCCGAACCGTCACTGCTGCTCTTCCCCACCCCGTCCCCTCCTCTCCCTCCCGCCGCACCCACTGCTGTGCTTCCATAGTCCCCCCACAGCGCACGCCACCACGCACCAGCTCCAAACGCATTCCCACCAGCAGCAAGCTTACGGCCGCCCTGAGCAGCAGAGGGAGCTATCAGCGCCTGCCCACTGCCATAGTTCTTGAAGCGAGTGAGGGAGCCGCGTCGGGGCGGGCGGGGGGTGGGGTGGGGCAGGAAAGGCAGGGGCAGCCCCCAGCGCTGCCAGTGCTGCCAGTGCTGGTCTTGGGCGTAGGCGAGGAGGATGAAGAGGGGGAAGAAGAGCAGCGTGATGCATGCCTCCACTATGGTGACACGGCCAGGGGAGAAGACCTGCAGGTGACAGACAGCCCAGTTGGGAAGGGAGGGAACCATGCAAGGAGCAGAGCAGAGAGAGAACATGGTTTTTTTCACTTCAGCAGGACATGAGAGAAATGAGGTCTAAATGCAGGAGACCAAACGCATGAGATACAGTAGGACAGCAGAGGGTTACCTTGAGCACAAGTCGAATCCAGATGTTTGCGCAGGTGCTGCCTGGGAGCTTTGAGGCTCTCTGAACACACCTTGAGCACGAGCAGGATCCAGATGTACGCCCACGTGCTGGCTGCGAGCTCAAGGAGGAAGACACCAACGGCCTGGATGCGCTTGATGGAATGGGCGGGTGGCGTGACCACACACACGGCCGAGATGACCATCAGGTTGAACGCTGCTGAACCCAAAACTGTGCCCGCTCCCAGCACTGCAGTGAGAGGGGAAGGGGGAGGGGCAGAGGAGGACAGGCGAAGGAGGAGAGGCATCGTAGAACAGGCGGAGATGACCATCGGGTTGAACGCTGCTGACCCAGCACTGTCGGGCAGGAAAACGGAGGTGAGACAATCGAGGACAGTAAAGCGTAGAAGACTGAGGAGTGGTTGACAAAAATGTGCTGCCTGTGACCATTCCGAGAGCAGGCGAACACGGGATGCATCGTGCACTAAATCATGTGTGACGCCCACACTCCAATCCGTCCCCTATCAGACACGTAGTCGCCGCTCCCCCTTTTTCCCCTCCTCCCTTCTCAGTGCAAGGCCCCTGGTTGAGGTGCTTGAGGGCGTCAACAAGTCGCCCAAATCTCCCTCCCTCCTCTCCTCCCCCACCCCTCCCCCCTTGCTCGTCCTCTCACTGCCAGCCCTCTGGTTGAGGTATTTGAGGACATCAAAAACAGCGATGACGATTTCAGTCGACTCAAAACAAACCTCAAATCCTCCCCTTCCTCGCCCTCTCACCGCCAGGTCCCTGGTTGAGGTGCTTGAGGGCGTCGACAACAGCGATGACGATTTCAGGCGCGGATGTGCCGAGAGCCATGAGAGCGATGTTCACCACCGTGCTGTTCCACACCTTCTCCATCCGCCGCTCCTCCCGGCCCGTCTCAGGGTCGCGCCGACTCACCTGTGCAGAGGAAACGAGTCGGACAACAAAGGTTAGTGGAAGGCACAGAGGATTCATGCTAGTATCAAGTGAAGTACAGAAGCATAACAACCCGTATAATGGTTTCTCATCAGATACGTTGAAATATCGCCATGGCTTGCGTTGTCGAGATGAAACCCTCACCTTGGTGTACGTGTTGGAGATGCAACCCTCATGATGGCGTACGTGCTGGATATGAACCCTCACCATGGCGTACTTCCTCAACATGAAACCCTGACCATGGCGTACGTCCTTGAGATGAAACCCTTACCATGGCGTACGTGCTGGAGATGCGGTCGAGGGCCTCCATGAAGACGCGTACGATCGCAGCGAGCCCCACGAAGCAGTACAGCATACCCGCCAGGTACCACGCCGACCGCACCGCCGGACTCCATAGCTGCTCCGCGGGAAGCAGCAGGAAGCTGTCGCAGCTGCTCGAGGAGAAGACGCGCAGAGAAAAAAACGTCAGGATAAGCACGGCCGTCGTTCGGCCATGAGGGACGAGGCGATTGTTTACATGGCGACTAGAAACGAGAGCATAAAGAACGACGACTGTGGAAACGAGGCGGCGCGCTGTAGTTGTTGATGGTAATCGATCCTTGACATGTACAGACGACGGATGCGCACACGGGATTCAATACCTGGTGTTGAAGGGAATGACGTAGACGGAATAGCCGGTCGTGCTTCTCGAGGCGTAGCAGTCTTGCACGGCGTTGAGGTAGGACAGTTGGATGTCAGGACACAGCTGGCGGGACGACGTTATGTTCAGCCCAGCAGGTTCCGCCATCGTTGATCCAGTTGTCTGGGGATCCCACTTCAAATTTTGCTCAAGTGATCATGTTACTTCTGGCGTAAAATCTCGCTTTTATAGCAACCGCAAGCACGGTAATGAGCCACACTTGTGCATTCAGACTAGATAAGCTGTCTTGGGTGTTTCCTTCGTAAGTGCCGTTCCTCAGCAGACGCTGAATACTGTTTTTGCGTCTTGAGTTATTGAGGACAGACTGACGGCCTTGGGTATTTCCGACACAGGGCGGCTTGGGAATTCGTGAACGTAGTTCATGCGAATTTCTACCACGAGACTTTAGTTAAAAAATTGTCCTGGTGAACAGCACTTTCACCTAGCTGTGCTTGCTGAATACAGTATCCTGCTTGTAAACCATCAGCTCAGCGGCTTATGAAGCGTATGGACTGCTGCTCCTGCGTGGTGGAGGAATGGCGCGAAACCCGGCGCTGACGACCTCCGTGGTCGTCAGGCGTCGCACGACAGGTGGAAGATCGCCAAAACAGCAACCCAATTGGCATTGTCCTTACGCAAAATCGAATGACAGACTCGGCAGCGATCCCTGACGGTTTCAGTTTCGGCTTTGACGATCGCAAACAGGCAAGGAGGGAGGGGAAAAGCCAAGAGACGTAAATCGTGACGGGAGACAAACCCAAGGAGAAAGGCAGCACCCAAGGGAGGACCCCAAGGGACAGAACTCGAGAAGCGAAGGGAGGCGTCAATTCCAAGAGACGTCGGCCTGCCAACAAATCTCGACCGCAGAGTTCCTTGCTTTCAGACCTCCGAGTCAACGCAAGTCCAAATACTGCCACCCCACCACCTCCATAACTAGTTTCTTCTACGCGTCGCTTGTACCTAGGTCTGGATTAGTTCTCCGAGATTCACGGCTCACGCTGGGCCATGTTTGGTCTAAGCGTCGACATTTCCCGTTTCGTGTTATACATCGAGCTATAGCGATGAGAGGCGTCAAACTTCCCGGCCGCTTAGGAAGCTCGTTAGCTCAATTAGGGTCCACACGGTACATCCATTGGTATTGGCTGAGTATAGTTTTGCTCCTGGTCACTTCATTCAATGTCGACGCCAAGAAACATGAAGTCCCGAAGGCAGCCGCCCCAGAGGAAGGTTCGTAGTTTCTGCCGCACTGCCACCCCCTCGCTGAGTCGTTAGGTGCATTTTAGGCCTCCAATACTCAGTCGCCATTGTCTTTCCTCCGTCTCTCTTCGTCGCTAATTTTCACGAGCTTCCTTCTCTAGCTTAGCCTGACTAAAAGCGGTCCGCTTTTCCTGTCCCTGCTCCATTATTCCCGTCGTTCCTCATCGCAGCAATCGCGCTGCTTGCCTTCAAGGACCACCTGTACAGCCATCGGTCCTTAGACTCGTGGAACCTAACGGAGCAGCCTAACCACTGCGCGTGGGATGGCGTTAAATGCTCCGACGAAGGATACGTTAAGATTCTGTGAGTGCCTCGCGTTGCCGAATGGGTCTTGCGCCAAGTTTATCGACGAGGCGGCTTCCCTCGAGTGGGTCTTGCGTGCGCTCCCCATCTCATCGTCATCCGGTCCGTTTGAACGTTCGTCTCGCCCTGTTACCTCATCGCTCGTCCCGATCTCGCGATTCTTCCCCGTTCCACCTCCGCAGAAGCCTGAAGCAGATGGGTCTGGTGGGGAACATATCGCCGGCACTCTCGAAGCTGTCGCGTCTTAAGTCCATCAACCTGCACCGCAACTACCTGTTCGGCTCCATCCCCTCCGAGCTCGCAGGGATGAAGTCCTTGCGCCAAGTGTGCGCTCTTCAGAACCCCCTTGTTTTCGTCGCAATGCAACTTCGTTCTCGCTCACTCTTATTCTCTTCGTTGTTTCGCATGTCGTTGGTGTTCGCCTGCCTCATTCGCCTTGGCTCCTCTCCCCCACCCACCACTCTCACTCCTCCTGCTCCTTGTCTCTCATGTATTTCCACGCCAACACCTCATTTTATCTCATCCCCGTCCCTTTTCTCTTGTGCCACGCGTTCTTGCGTGTGCTCGCTCCCACATCTGCGTCGATCCGCATTGCGTGGGCGTCCGTGTTGCTACAGAAAGCTGAGTTATAACAGACTCACTGGCACAATCCCTGCCGGCTTTGGACGCAGCAGCCTCTCAACCCTGTGAGTGACCGCTCCTCGCCATTCTCAATCAACCCGTCCATCGCCGCACACTCCACCACAGCACATCTCCTGTCACTTGTCTTTCGACCCTGGCCACCACGTTCCCTCCATGTCACTCCCTTCACTCCGCGCCCTCTGCTCTCGTCTCCCCTCTGCCAGTTGAGTTGCGCCAGAAAGGCAGCCTAGTGCCGAGCCGAACACGTTCACTGCTCACGTACCTATCACAACGCGGCGTGCGCGTGCACGTCTGCGTGCAGGATACTGTTCAACAACAACCTCACAGGGCCCATCCCCGACACCTTCGCCAACGCCATCCGAGTCAAGCAACTGTACGTTCTTGCTGCAATCATGCCGCGCGCACACACTCCCTGCTTCCACTCCAGCACTCTTGCTGCTCCTGCCCGCATCCGTTCCCTGCATCTTAATCCTCAAGGCCACGCACTCAGCAAATCAATCTGCCTGACTCTTTCCCTCATCACGGCCCTGTCAATTCTTCTCTCCCGCCGATCCCCCCTTACCCGCATGTCCGCCATGGCCAGTCGCCTGGGGTACAATGACATCACGGGTCCCATCCCCACGTACCTGGGCGACTTCACCAACCTCTCCGTCATCTCGCTGCCCGGAAATCAATTCTCGGGCTCCATCCCGTCGCAGCTGGGCCAGCTCTCCTCCACGCTGCTGGGCCTCACGCTGGATAAGAACCCACTCTCTGGCAGCATTCCCGACGAGCTCTTCAACTGCAACTTGCTCCGCAACCTGTGAGTGTCTCACGTCCCCGACTCCCCGCCCTTGTTTCAAATCAAGTCAACCGAGCTCTTCCTCATTGCGTTCGCCCATTCATCCCGACCTCCCTTCTCTCCCTCCTACGTCCCCGTTCCACCCTCTATTCTGGTGCCATGCCACGCCAGGACTTTGAACCAGACGGGGCTGACGGGCCCCATTCCTCCGTCCATCAGCGCCCTTACTGACATTTCCATGCTAGACCTGGGCGGCAACACCTTCACCGGCTCCATTCCCTCCCAGCTGGGCAGCCTAAAAAAGCTGCGCCTGCTGGACCTCCACGGGAACAATTTCACGGGCAGCCTACCGGACACGATCGGGCAGCTGACGAACCTCACCCTGCTGGACGTGAGCTTTCTGTCGGGCATGAACGGCAGCGTGCCGACGACCCTGTCCGCCCTCTCCCTGCTGAAAAGATTGTAAGTCAGCCTCCTGATCACCTGCCACCACAACCTGGCAGCCACATTCGTGTTTTGAGTCAACCTTGCCAGTGTATTTAGGAATCAATGTAACTTATCGTTTTTTTGTGCGGGCCTGTCAGCCCCTCTCACAGCCCGCGCCCCTCTTGAGTTCCTGGTTTCGCTCCTCAATCGTCGTTTCTCAACGACTTTGCGTTGGGATTGTGTGCGTGTGTATGCCATGCGTGTGCGTGTGTATGCCATGCGTGTGCGTGTAATCTATGTGTGCGATGTGCGTGACACAGGGACCTGACCAACAGCAGCTTCTCGGGTCCTCTGCCCGGGGGCCTCATTGCATCGCTGCCAGAGGGGGCGCTCTTCAACCTTTCCAACAACTTCTTCTCAGGGCCCATCCCCGACGCCCTCATGGCTCGTATCCGCGCCAACAGGTGCGCCACCATGCGCCTGCCCTGCTGCACCGCTCTGTCCATGCTGACTTTCTCCTCTTCCTCCCAATCCAGCCCTGCTTGCTCCCTTTTTCTCCGCACCCACCCACATCAACCCTTTCTCCCAAGCTCATCTCGGTGACCTCTTCACTGCATGCCAGCCTGTATTGAGCCCTCCGTATTCTGCCGGTATTGAGCCCGCGGCTCACGCTTCAACCCGAAAACATCGTACCCCTACTCTCTTCTGACTTGACCGTCTTGGAAGCGCAGGTCACCGGCGTCAACGGTGTACGGCAACTGCCTGTCGTCCAGCCTGTTGCCCACTACTCAACCCAGCTTACTGTACCCAGCCCTTTTGCTCACACCCTTCCCACCCAATCCGCCCGCGCAACCCCCCACCCCTTTTTGGAGCGCAGGTCACTGGCATCAACGGTGTACGGCAACTGCCTGTCGTCCAGCCCGTCGTCCCCCGTGTACCCCATGGACTGCGCCACCGTCGCTGACAACATCTGCTTCCTGCAGTACCAGCGCCCCGCCTACCAGTGCCGTGAGTCCCACCCGCACATTCCAGCGCTGTAACTCTCACACATATCACCCTGAATCCCCGTTCACATATTTTCCTGCTACCGCATGCCTATCCCCACCCTCCCTCTCTTCCACTTCCCCTTTCCCCTCCTCTTTCCTGGTGCCTTCCCCCTCTCCCCTCTCCTTCAAACTCCCACCCCCGCCCACCCCCCCTCAACTTCCCCCGTCCTCCTCGCTGCAGTGCCATACGATGCAGCTCAGAGCGCGTCCTCTTCATCCTCCCTCAGCGTCGCTCTCACCATCACGGTGCTCGTGCTGCTCGCCGTGGCCGTGGCAGCGGGCGCCGCATACGCAGGGTTGAAGCGCATGCAGCAGGGCAGACCCAAGGCATTGGTGCCAGCGACCAAGGTGGTCGTCAAGGCAAAGGAATACAGTGAGTGGCCGTCTGTAGGTGAATGGGGTTTGGGATGGGGAAACGGGAGGAGTGGATGGAGGGCTGGCTGGTGAATCACCTTGATTGGTACTTGGCGACTTTCTTTCTCTAACCCTGCTATTTTTTGTGTGCTTGCTACGTCCTTTCATCCGTGGCATGGCATGGCATGGCATGGCGTGACATTGCATGGTGTGTGACAGAGGACGTGGAGACTGGGGAGCTCAAAGCGCCCCCACCAGACACCTACTTGCCAGGCATGCCGCCAGGTCAGTGTCTCCCTCGCACTACCTCCTTGCCTTGTTCAGCCGCATCAACGCTGCCTGCCTCATCACTAGGGCAGCACCATCTGCCTCTCACCTCACTGCCCCTCCACCCCCCTACAATTGCACCCTCCCACACTCCCATTATTCTACTCTCCCACCCTCCCACTGTGTCGCTCCCCCTTTCCCCCCCCCAGACATACCGCGCTTCTCGTTCACGCAGCTGAACCACGCCACGGACTGCTTCACACACCTGGCCAACACCAACGACCCGCGCGCCATCTACGACGCCACCTTCCTCCTCCCCCCCACCGCCACCACCGCCACTGCTCCTGCACCTTCTGCTGCTGTTACCTCGCCCGCAGCACCCGCCAGTGCGGCGGTGGCGGCGCCCAAGGTGGTGGGGGGGGGCGGGCAGGAGCATCTGTCGGTGCAGCTGGTGAGCTTCCCCGGGGTGTACCTGGACGCCATGAAGGAGGAGTTTGTGGCGCGGGTCAAGCGCATCCATGCTGCCCGCCACCCCTGCCTCTTTGCCTTCCGCGGCTACGCCTACGAGGACGGCAACTTTGCGCTTGTCTTCGAGCCCACAAGGGAGACCCTCTTCGACCGCCTCCACGGTATGCTGCCTCTCGCTCGCTCCCTTACCAACTCACCGTCCCTCACCTCTGTGCCTGCTCCGCTGCTCCTTTTCAAGTAATTCTGTGATATTAAAAGTATCGTACTCATAAGGCGTCCCCTCTCTTGCTTTCCTCCTCGCAACTCACAGAGGCCAGTGGAGCCCCACTGTCATGGAGGGAGCGAATGGTGATCGCCCTGGGAGTGGCAGAGGCCCTCGAATACCTCCACACTGCCGCCTCCACCCTCACCCACACCCCTCCCAAGGGCCCCTCCACCCCTCCCCACGCCGCCTCCGCCTCCCCCAACTCCACCACACTCCTCAACGACCCGCACACGCCTGTGCTCTCTGCCCACGAGGGCAGCACGAGCCTGAGCGTGGGCGCGGGCACTCCCCTGGGGTCCACACGGGGAGGAGGCGAGCAGGCGTGGCGAGGCGGCATGGTGCATGGCGATGTGAAGTCGTGCAACGTGGTGATAACCGCTCACAGCAAGGGCAAACTCGCAGAATTCCAGGTCCCCTGCGACGACGCCGATGACCCCCTCCGCTCCATCTCCCCCCGGGGCTCCTTTGGGTACCTAGACCCTCAGTATGCGGACACGAAGCGGCTCACTGCAGCGAGCGACGTGTACTCGTTTGGAATTCTGCTGTTTGAGCTGGTGTCCGGGCGGAGGGCAATGCTGGATGACTCGAGCACGCTGATTGTGTGGGTGCAGCAGTTCTTCATGCGCCGGGATGACTATGCCGGCCTGCTGGACGGCGCTCTTGTCACCATGGGCGGCGTGCCGCCCAGCCAGCTCGTGCCCGTGATTGAGCTTGCACAGGACTGCACTCAGGTGAGACAAGAGTGGGCGGCACTGGTTCTGTGTGTGGGGCGAAGGGGGTTGTGTGGGGGTGAGTGTAAGATCACGAGAGGACGGCAACAAATTGTGGTCAGCCTTTCTTTTGCAGAGCAGTCTATGCGCCTGCCACTTGCTTGTCCATTTCTCACTCCATGAGTTCCCCACCCCATACCTACCCCATGCTCCACACACTTGTCCATCCCACCCCGTGTGTTCCCCATGGCAGGTGAGGGAGGAGAGCCGGCCATCCATCCAGCAGGTGCGGGAGGTGCTCATGTCAGCAGTGTGCGTGGAGGGCGGGGAGGTGTACGAGAGCGGCAGTGTGGTGGGGTACGGAGATGGGGAGAGCGACACCACCATGAGCCATCTAGACGAAGGGCTCGCGGCCAGGCGTGCAGCAGACCACGCTGCTTTGGAGTCCGCTGCTGCTGCTGTGCTCGCTGCTGTGGCTGCTGGCGGGGCTGCCAGGCAGACTCTAGAGGTGTATGATAGTCGGGTGCATGGACAGGAGCAAGCCCGGCAGCAGGAAGGGGAGGGGGGGGCGGGGAGGTCGGGAGGGGAGATTGAGATAGAGATGATGAGTGAGGGGAGTGAGGAGGGGCAGGCGGTATAAGAGGTGGGTGAGTGAATGGAGTTAGGAAGGAAGGGCGCGTTGCAAGTGGCCGGAATGAGAAGCCTCGATAATGAGGCGACATGGAGAGGGAGGGAGTCCCGTGTACCATGCTGTAATTAGTCTTCTGCGTTGCCCTCCCAGCGCCTCAGATGGCACAGCACACCCAGCCGCAAAGCTCCTGCCAGTCCACCAGCCAGGGGAGTTCTTATCTGGTTTGCTTTCTTAGTATGTTGAAACCTTTTTGGAGTTTAGGCTCCGGGGGCCTAGGTGTGTCGAAGAGTTGCTGTGTTGGGTTGTGTGCTGTGTCGTAAGGCAGCCATGGCTGCCTGTATTTAATGGTAGCTAGGTGTAGCTGTAGAGTTGACTTATAGAACACGAACTTGTAAACTTGTTGTCGTGTAGTGTAGTTCTTAGTGCAAGTGTAACTAGCAGACAAAGCCAAAGAAACATGGAGCCCAATTGAAGGGATAGATAAAGCTGCACATTCACACAAGCAATGCAGTTTTAGCACACTGCCATGCCATCTCTCCTATCTCTCCTACCCAATGCTATTGGATTCCCTAGAAACAACCTTCTTCTGACTGCTCTTGATGAATTCCACATCGGTTATTACCTTACCGCACCACATACACTTGGTCGTGACACCCCACAGTGGCATCAGCAGCGGGGTTGGTGGCCACATAGGGCACTGGAGGGCCCCCCTGTCGTCCACCACGGTACAGCCCCACTGCCAGCTGCCCGTACCGCTGCAGCAGACCCACAAACAGACTCTCGAACGGGCCTCCTATGAACTCTGCTGGTACTGCCACAAGCACCAGCTCTCTCCTGAGTGGTGCAGAGCGGTGCCGAGGGTTGGGGTGGGAGTTGGATGGGGAGGTGCTGGTGGGGAGAGCGTTGGACGGAGCAGGTGCGGCAGTGTTAGGAGATGTGGGTTGCTGATGTGCTTGCTGCTCTTGCTGCTGCTGCTCCTGCTCCTGCTCTTGCTGTTGCTCTTGCTGCTGCCGGTGCTGCGTGAGAAGCTCCTCGGCTTCCCGTGGAGCATAAATAGCGCCGCCTGCAATGAGCAGGTCCGCCACTGCACTCAGGTTGCGGTTCAACAGGGCTCCGTGGCTGGTGGAGCGTGGGGAATGGAGGGTGGTTAGGGACAGAGGGACGCAGAAGGGAGCAGGTTAGAGAACACAGGTTGTTGGTCAATACATATTGTTATCAATTTCGGAAGGGAGTTGTTTGGATGGGCAGCTCACCTGATTGTCGATGAGCAATCTCAAAAACACCGATGAGGCCAATTTAAGGGCAGACGTCTCACCTGAGGGTTCACCTGAGGTTTCATTTAAGCCTGAGGACTCACATAAGAAAGAGCAGGCCAGTAGGGCAGGAGGCGCAACCGTCAATGAAGGCAGGCGCACATCGCAGCAGCAGTGAGTGGTTGATGAGAGTGGTGCGGCGCAGCACACTAAGGGAAATACTGAGGACTCACATGAGGAAGAGCAGGCCAGCAGGGCAGGAGGCACGGCCGTCAATAAAAGCGGGGGCGCAGCGCAGCAGCAGTGAGTAGTTGATGAGAGTGGTGCGGCGGGACACTCGCCACTGCCGCAGTGCTCCGTGCAGCACGCTGAGCGGCGGCAGGAACTGGAAGCTCTCCTCGTGCTGCACCTCGCACAGCACACTGCTGCTGTGCGCGCTCTCTGGGGGGTGCGAGGGCTGTGAGGGCTGCGTGGGGTGCAAGGGCGCTGTTGAGTCCGTGGAGTAGTGCTGGTGGGACAAGGAAATGGAAGAGGCGGTGCTGGTGTGGTGCAAGTCTGGTTGGAAGGCGGAGGAGGAGTGGGAGGAGAGGAGGCGGTGCACGGCGGCAGCGATCTGCACGTTCTCCACGTCCTGCGCGAATATGGATGGGTCCACCGCTGCCCCTGCTGTGCTGCTGCCCTCGCTCTCCTCCCCTGCTGCCCCCACCGTGCTGGGCGAGGCAACGGTGTCTGACGCCATTATTACGATCTTGGCTGGAAGGGGAAGACAGAGGACAGGGGGGAGCGGGACGACAGGCGGATGGAAGGGAGGGGATGGGTTGGTTGTGAGGTGCCTCTATCGCAGATTGTGCTGGCCAAGGCATTGGTGTCAGACGCCATGATACTATATTGGTTGGGGGGAAGAAGGCATAGGCGCGCGATGGCAAGGGAGTGCACTGGGATGGCAGAGAAACGGCTAAGAGAAGAAAACGGACTGACTGGCATTGGGAGTAAGGCAGGCCGGGAGGGTAGGAGCACGGGCACCTGCAGAGAGAGCGCTGGCTCGAAGGAGGTCCATGGGGGAGATGGGCGAGCCTCTGACGAAGTACACGTGCTGATGGTGCCCCACACACCCCCACTGCTCGCAGGGACACGAGTTTTGAGTCGACTCAAATCTCACCTGCAATGAGAGCGCCGGCTCGAAGGAGGTCCATGGTGGAGATGGGCGAGCCTCTGACGAAGTACACGTGGCGGTGGTGCCCCACACACCCCCACTGCTCCTCACTCGGCTCGTGTAACCGCAGAAACACAATCGGTACACACCCCTCCACGCCCTCCCTCCTCCCTTCATCTCCCCCTTCCACATCATCCCGTTCCCCTGCTCCCTCCTTAAACGACCCGCCTTCTCCCTCTCCTCCTCCTTCACCCCACGAGCCCTCATTCCTCCTAAGAAAGGTCACAAAGTAGTGAAGGGAGTGCGGCCAGCATTCGCCCTGCAGCAGCACCAGCACGTGCGCGCGGGGCAACACCCCATCAACAGCTGCCAGCGTGCGGCTCTCCAGGTGGGCCGCGATCTTCCTGCGGTTGCGCTGCAGCGTGGACGGGTGTGGGCGGGCGGGCAGGGCAGGAGGCTCTGTGTCCAGTACACTGGCTGCTGCTGCTTCCAAGCCTGCTGCGTCCACCCATGCTGCTTCCTCGCCTTCTGTTTCCGAGCCTGCTTCATCCACACTCCCAAGTCCTGCTTCTTGCTGGCCAGAAGGGCCTACTTCTCCTGCTGCTCCAATGCTTTCAGGACCTGCTTCTGTGCGGCTACATGCCCCCACTCCTACGCCTGGTGCGTCTATACTCGAGCCAACTGCGCTCGTGTATCTGCTCAAGCCCTTTGGAGCAACCGTGTTGGTGTGAGAGCGAGAGTCGAGCGAGGCACTGTGAGAGGGGGCCAAGGAACGGCGAGAGGAGAGTGAGGCGCGGCGAGAGGAGAGCGAGAGGCGGCGGGAGGGCCTAGCGGGAGGCCAGTCCAGGACTGCACTGACTGACGCCGCGAGTGGCAGTGGCTGGGGCGCTGAGGGAGCAGAGATGGAAGCGGATGCCAGGGAGGGCTGGCGGGCAAAGCGGGTGGAGGAGCGGGAGGAGAGAGCACCGGAGGGAGCGCGGGAGAGTGAACGGGACAGTGCACGGGAGGACACTTTTCTTGATATTTGCCGCGCCAGAGCCCTGCTCTTGGCCATGAGCGCCTCGTCATTGCCCGGCTGCTCTGCAGCATGCTCGCTGCTCTCCTCTCCCCCTTCCGCCGCCTCTCCCTCCCCGCTCAGCCACTCCTCTTCCCCACGCTGGGGCGAGGAGTAAGGAAGGGGCGCGTGCGAGGGCCCACGGGGCCATGAGGCAGAGGTGGGGTGGGAGGAAGAGGCCGAGGCGGGACGGGCGGAAGGGGCAGAGTCACGCCGGGAGGAGGAGGCAGAGCGGGAGAGGAGGAGGGAGGTGCGTTGGGAGGCGGCGGCACGCATGGCTTGGAACAGCTGGCGAGCCAGCGACTCCTCTGACAGCCACTCAGACATGCTGCGCCTCCCGCTGCTTCGCTTCCCACTGCTGCTTCTTTCACCGCTGTTCTTCCCATGGCTGCTTCTGTCGCTGCTGTTCTTCCCACCACTGCTCCTCCTGCCGCCATCATCCTTGCCCTCCTCCGCCTCTCCGCTTGCCCTGCTTCCCCCACTCCCACTCACCCGTCCACCTACTGCCTCCGCCTCTTCCTCCTCCTCCGCCTCCGCCCCCGCCTCCACCTCCTCCTCGTCCCCCTCCTCCCCCAATCCTTCTGCGCTCTCCTCCCCACTCACCCGTTCACCCACGCTTTCAAAGCTGATGTGGCGCCACGTCAGCAGGGCCTCTGAAGACCAGGCAGCGCTGGGAGCGCGGGCCCACGTGGCACACGCTTGTCCAATCAGCTGCATAAGCTTGGCGGCCTGGGGACGCCCCTTGGAAACTCTGAAGGGTTTGGTGCCACCCTGACGCCTCTCCCTCTCTTCCCAATTCTCCTCCCCCTCCTTCCAGTTCCCCTCCCTCTCCTCCTTGTCCCCCCTTTCCTCATGAATGTCAACAACTTTCTCAAATGGATCTTCCATATCCCGCCCTTCCCCACTCCCTGTGTACGGTCGGCGCATGCCGCCCCAGCTACCGCCCGCCGCCCTTGCAGACAGCGCATGCGCCGCCCGGGAGATCTTCTCCACTGTACCAAGATCCGGCGCTATCACATGCCCCACGTCCCGCGGACCAATCACATGCCCCCGTGGAAACAAAAAGATTTTCCGCAACGTGCCAGCAGCACCATTCCCTGCTGCCCTCCCCCTACCATCCCCATCCCCTCCTACTACTTGCCTCTCCTCCTCTGCTCCCTGCTCCCCCTCCGGCACGCCCTCTTGCCTCCCCTCCTCTCCGCGCACACCAAAGGAAGCAGGGAAGATGGAGGATGAGCGGACGAATTTCTTGAGGGGGTGCAGGCGGGGGCCATAGTGCACGATGGAAGGGGTGGAGAGCGGCTTTGAGGAGCAGGGGAGGGGGAGACTGTGGGGCAGACGCGTCTCAACTGCCGTTTCATCGGGCGTTTCGTCTGGCGTTTCATCTGGCGTTTCATCGAGGCAGATGTCGACTGCGAATAAGATGACTCGGTACGCGCGATAGATCACCTCCACCAGCTGTTGCACGGGCATGCCACCACAACACACAAGGAGGAATAATAAATCTCCTGAGACTTCCGGTGAGTGAAAGAAAAGCGTGATGCATGCTGATGGGTGGAATAGTTTCCCCGATTCGACCACCAGCATCACTCAGGGCGAAGCATGGGGGCGAAGCATGGGGGCGAAGCATGGGGGCGAAGCATGGGGGCGAAGCATGCGGGCGAAGCATGGGGGTGAAGCATGGGGGCGAAGCATGGGGGCGAAGCATGGGGGCGAAGCATGGGGGCGAAGCATGGGGGCGAAGCATGGGGGCGAAGCATGGGGGCGAAGCATGGGGGCGAAGCATGGGGGCGAAGCATGGGGGCGAAGCATGGGGGCGAAGCATGGGGGTGAAGCATGGGGGCGAAGCATGGGGGCGAAGCATGGGGGCGAAGCATGGGGGCGAAGCATGGGGGCGAAGCATGGGGGCGAAGCATGGCGGCGAAGCATGGGGGCGAAGCATGGCGGCGAAGCATGGGGGCGAAGCATGGGGGCGAAGCATGGGGGCGAAGCATGGGGGTGAAGCATGGGGGCGAAGCATGGCGGCGAAGCATGGGGGCGAAGCATGGCGGCGAAGCATGGGGGCGAAGCATGGGGGCGAAGCATGGGGGCGAAGCATGGGGGCGAAGCATGGGGGCGAAGCATGGGGGCGAAGCATGGGGGCGAAGCATGGGGGTGAAGCATGCCACCTATCCGCGCATGCTGGCGTACCGCTTCGAAGAGCATGCCATGGAAGGCCGAGGGCAGCAGCATTGGAAAGGCCTCCATCTGCTGGCCCTGCATGTACTCGTTCAGGTGTGGGGCGGCTCGCAGAGGCGGCAGCGGCGGGCCCGACGAGAAGAGGTTGGTGATGAGCGTGCTGACGGCTGGCACCTCACAGCTGCGGTGGGGTTGGGGGGAAAACAGGACGTGCATGTGGGGGGGAGGGTTGTGTGGAGGGGTGGATGAAGAGGAAGGTCAGAGGGGCAGGCCCGACGAGAAGGAGTTCGTCACGAGCGTGCTGATGGCCGCCACCTCACAGCTGTGGTGGGGTGTGGTAAGTGGGGGGGGAAGGGATGGGTTGGCGGGGAAAGGTGAAGAGTGAGCATAGTGCAACGGTGGGCCTGACGAGAAGAGGTTGGTGACGAGCGTGCTGATGGCCGCGACCTCACAGCTGTGGTGGGGTGTGGATGGGAGGGATGCAGAGCGAGGTGAGAGTGATGGTGGTTGAGAGAGGGGGTTCGTCACAAGCGTGCTCACCATTTCCCTGCACCCACCCTCCCAGCCCAGCAGTACCTTCGAGCAAGCAGGCAGAAGAAGCATGTGGGGTCGGTGGAGAACAGCTCCAACGCGCCCACCTCGCCCAACTTGGGGCCCAGTTATCACCTTCCCCAGCCCCCACCTCCCTGCACCCACCCACAAGCCCAGCAGTACCTGCGGGCGAGGAGGCAGAAGCGCGTGGGGTCCGTGCAAAAGAGCTCCAACGCGCCCACCTCCCCCCACATCGCGCCCCTCCCCTCCACCTGCCGTTCAGGGCCATGGCGGATGGGAGATGGGGGATGGGAGATGGGGGATGGGGGGGGATGAAGATGGGGGATGGGGGATGGGGGATGGGGGAGGGATGGAGGACGCAAAATGGGTGGATGGCCACGTGGGATGAGCGATGGGGAATCGGGGATAAGGCAGGCAGGCAACAAGGCAGGCAGGCAACAAGGCAGGCAGGCAACAAGGCAGGCAGGCAGGCAACAAGGCAGGCAGGAAACAAGGCAGGCAGGCAACAAGGCAGGCAGGCAACAAGGCAGGCAGGCAACAAGGCAGGCAGGCAACAAGGCAGGCAGGCAGGCAACAAGGCAGGCAGGCAACAAGGCAGGCAGGCAACAAGGCAGGCAGGCAACAAGGCAGGCAGGCAACAAGGCAGGCAGGCAACAAGGCAGGCAGGCAACAAGGCAGGCAGGCAACAAGGCAGGCAGGCAACAAGGCAGGCAGGAAACAAGGCAGGCAGGCAACAAGGCAGGCAGGCAACAAGGCAGGCAGGCAACAAGGCAGGCAGGAAACAAGGCAGGCAGGCAACAAGGCAGGCAGGCAACAAGGCAGGCAGGCAACAAGGCAGGCAGGCAACAAGGCAGGCAGGCAACAAGGCAGGCAGCAACAAGGCAGGCAGGAAACAAGGCAGGCAGGCAACAAGGCAGGCAGGCAACAAGGCAGGCAGGCAACAAGGCAGGCAGGCAACAAGGCAGGCAGGCAACAAGGCAGGCAGGCAACAAGGCAGGCAGGCAACAAGGCAGGCAGGCAACAAGGCAGGCAGGCAACAAGGCAGGCAGGAAACAAGGCAGGCAGGCAACAAGGCAGGCAGGTTACAAGGCAGGCAGGCAACAAGGCAGGCAGGCAACAAGGCAGGCAGGCAACAAGGCAGGCAGGCAACAAGGCAGGCAGGCAACAAGGCAGGCAGGCAACAAGGCAGGCAGGAAACAAAGCAAGCATGAGGCATGTCACCACCCTCGCCTCGCTTTCCTGCATGCCTCACCTGCATGCGAAGCAGCTCCACCACCACTTTCAAACCAGTGCATTCACGGCATCTCAAAACACACCGCTTGCCACCGTTGCCACCGCATGCCACCGCTTGCCACCGCTTGTCACCACATCCCTCACCTGCGGGCGCAGCAATTCCACCACCACTCTCACACGCCCCCGGCACGAGCGGTGAGCCACGAGGCCTCGAATGAGCTGCGCCGTGTCCTCGCTCTCTGGGTCCTGCACACAGGTAGGTGATGTGAGCGCACACACATGCAGCGCAGTTGCGCATCATGGAATACCGCCATGCATGATCCCTTAAATGAGCCGTGCCGTGTCCTCACTCCCCAAGGCATGCAAGGGGTTGCATGCATGGGGTTGCATGCATGGGGTTGCATGCAAGGGGTTGCATGCAAGGGGTTGCATGCAAGGGGTTGCATGCAAGGGGTTGCATGCAAGGGGTTGCATGCATGGGGTTGCATGCAAGGGGTTGCATGCAAGGGGTTGCATGCAAGGGGTTGCATGCATGGGGTTGCATGCAAGGGGTTGCATGCAAGGGGTTGCATGCAAGGGGTTGCATGCAAGGGGTTGCATGCAAGGGGTTGCATGCAAGGGGTTGCATGCAAGGGGTTGCATGCAAGGGGCTGCATGCAAGGGGTTGCGGGGTTGCATGCAAGGGGTTGCATGCAAGGGGTTGCATGCAAGGGGTTGCATGCACATACACACCTCTGCGCTCCTACTGGAAGGTACACACCCATCACTGCGCTCCTAATGGCCAACACACGCCCACCTCTGCGCTCCTATTGGCCAGGAGGTAGATGGCGAGGGCGTCCCTGGCAGCCACACGATCAAAGTCATCTGGACGGTCCATCTGCCCCTGCATGTAGTGCGCCTTGCCCTGGAAGAATCCCAGCAGTGCCTTCAAGGCAAAGCTGCAGAGAGGGGCGAGATTGAGAGGCGAAAAACAAGTAGATTCTCAAGGGCCGCACACAGTGGGCATGTGCTTTCAGCTCCATCTGCACCTGCATGTACCGCGCCTTGCCCTGCAAGAAACCCAGAAACGCCTTCAAGGCGAAGCTGGGAGGATACGGCGAGACGGGGAGAGGGGAGAGGGTGGGTGACAAAGTGGGTGGGCCTGGAGTTCCAGCAGGCGAAATGAGGGTGTTTCTGAGACGACTCAAAAACACCCTCATTTCACATGGCTTGGAGGAGCTCCAGCAGGCCCATGCAAAGAGAGTAGGTGTGGGAGGGGGCAGGTGAGAGACTTGGTAGGCTCGGGCAGGTGCGAGTGGTGGAAAGATAAGGCTGAAAATAGAAAAGGCGATTTACAAGGATTGGGAACTCACGAGGGCGGGTCTGGACCCATAAATACCACCTTGAGTGGATACACGGGGACTCCTGGTGGGGTAAGAAACAATGGGAGTGGTGAGGAAGGGGGAACGGAGAAGAAGCGGTTTGCCAATTTGCAGGGATTGCGAACTCAAGAGGGGAGGACAGGTCCCAAGAAGACTGGAAGCGCAACGGGTACAGCTCAGCTCAACAACGGCTCAATGTGGCACATGTGGCGCTGGAGTCAAGTCAACAGAGTCAAGCTGGTCAAGGAGAGGAGGTGGGCGAGGTGGGTGCACTGACGGCCGTTGTGCAGCGGCGAGAAGAAGGAGCAGAGCAGGTCGCGCGCACACTCCACAGACGACACCCCCCAGATCACCACAAACCGCACCCCCACCGTGCGATACCGTGACAGCCACCCGCCGTAGGGGCTGTGAGGAGGAAGAGAGGGGGGAGAGAGGGGGGAGAGAGGGGGGAGAGAGGAGGGAGAGAGGAGGGAGAGAGGAGGGAGAGAGGAGGGAGAGAGGAGGGAGAGAGGAGGGAGAGAGAAGGGAGAGAGGGGTCAGAGAGGCGTGGGAGGGATGCGGTGCACTGCGTGAGGCTAGCAGGCCCACACGGCACAGACGCCACCCGCCAGATCACCACAAACCACACCCCCACCGTGCGATACCGCGACAGCCACCCGCCATAGGGGCTGTGAGGGGAGGAAGATGGAAAGGGGAGAAGGAGCAGAGCAGGTCGCGCGCACACTCCACAGATGCCACCCCCCAGATCACCACAAACCGCACCCCCACCGTGCGATACCGCGACAGCCACCCGCCGTAGGGGCTGGGAGTTAAGTGCCTATGCATTAGCCTGTAATCTAGATATACTAGCCTGGAATATTCTCTGAGGAGTGATAGAAAAGCTACAGCTTCACTTGGTCCGCGCGCGCGCCTTGGTCCACTGCCAGTCGGCACTACCAGACCCCACCCTCCAACACCCAAACCGTCGGCTCACCGGTTGGAGGCGAGTTCAACGAGGCGGCCAATCTGCAGCGGGATGTACGTGAGGGCTGCGAAGATTGTGAACACGGCCACCACCCGCCCCCATGATGAATGCGGCGTCACATCACCGTATCCCACCGTCGCCCCCTGATGAGGTACGTGTGCAGGGTAGGGAAGGGAGGTGCATGGGGAGGTGCATGGGGGGATGCATGGGGGGATGTATGTGAGGGCTGCGAATATGGTGAGGACGGCCACCACGCGCCCCCATGCCGAGTGTGGCGTCACATCGCCGTATCCCACCGTCGCCCCCTGCTGCGAGGGCATGGGGCGCATGGTGGGGGGGATTATTGGGGAGGATTGCATGGGGTGGTGGATGGGGGAGATTGTGAGGACGGCCACCACGCGCCCCCATGATGAATGCGGTGTAACATCACCGTATCCCACCGTCGCCCCCTGTGCGGTGTAAGGGGGGAGGGGCATTGGGGAGGGGCATTGGGGGAAAGCATGGCATGAGGGGCATGATGAAGATGGTGAGGACGGCCACCACCCGCCCCCATGCAGAGTGCGGTGTCACATCACCGTACCCCATTGTCGCCCCCTGTGAGGTGTGTGGGGGAGGTGCATGGAGGAATGCATGGAAAAAGATGCATGCGGATAGGTGCCAGGAGTGGGGGCGAGGCTCACTGTGCCCTCCACGAAGTGCATTGCGCAAAGGTGATTCTCCCACCTTTGCGCAATGCACGAACTCACCGTGACGCATGAAGTAGGAGTCAAAGCAGTTGGTGCAGCCACTGGCAGGAGGATCGTTTTGAGTCGACCCAAAAGTCACATGTAGCCAAGCCACAGACATGCACTCACCGTGACTACCATGAAATAGAACGAGTCGAAGAAGTTGGTGCAGCCGCTGGCAGGGCAGTCGTTCTCCACCTTGTATGCCTCGCTGGTGCCCCAGTACTCTGCGAACTGGAATATGCCCGCCCCCACCAGCACTGGCGTGATGGTGCAGAGGGAGAGGAGGGAGGGTTAGGATGAGGAAAGCCTTCCTGCTCTGTCTTGTAGGCCTCGCTGGTGCTGCGAACTGGAATATGCCCGCCCCCACCAGCACTGACGCACTCATGGAGAGGGAGAGGAAGTGTTAGAGGAAGAAGAAGGGGAAGATCGTGGATTTGATGAGGCTAGAATTCGAAAAGGCCAACACAAGATGGTCCACAGATCATTCACAGTTGGCTCGCAGACAGCTGGCCTGTCTTTCAAGACTCCAGTGTGTGAAGATATCTCACACAGATGGTGCAGATTGCTCACAGACGGACCAGATTGCTCACAGACGAACCAGATTGCTCATTGACGGTACAGATTGCTTACAGACAGTGAAGATGGTGAATCCGAGGGCTATCATCTCCTTGGCGATAGCATTGCGCATGGTGAGAGCCGCCTTCACGATTGATATGGTGCTGCCACGTGGAGGGAGGCGGTTGGAGGAGGGGAGAGATGGAGAGGGGAAGGGATGGATGGGTAAGGGGTGGAGGGGGGACGGGTGGAGAGAGGAGGGATGGCGAGGGGGAGAGCATTTGGCGCCGTATTGTGAGCAGGCTGGCTAGATGAAGCGTAGCAAGAGGGCACGGAGAGGGCAGGGAGTGGGCAAGGAGTGGGCAAGGAGTGGGCAAGGGGAGGTTGAGGGGAGGGCGAGGGGAGTATGAGGGGGGAGGGTGAGGGGAGGGCGAGGGGAGGGCGAGGGGAGGGTGAGGGGAGGGTGAGGGGAGGGTGAGGGGAGGGAAAAGGGAGGGCGAGGGGAAGGGGAGGGGCTGACCGGATGACACGCAGGAAGATGAGGAGCTGTGGCAGCCGCACTCCATTGCTGGTGCCCGCATGGTGATCCCTGGCGTGGCATGGTGTGGCGTGGCATGGTGTGGCGTGGCATGGTGTGGTGTGGCATAGGGGAGGGACGTGTGTGGAGGGAAGAGTTAGTGATGTGGGATGGGAGTGGATGTAGGGCAAGGGGGGAGTTGTGGAAGGTGCAACGAGGATGGATGGATGGATAGATCGATGGATGGATGAGCACTGCAGCTGTTAGAGGCAGAGAGGAGCAGGAGGAGCGACTCACAAGCGGATGAGGAGGAGAGGCAGCAGCGAGATGAAGTCGAGAATGCCCTGCCATGACAGCACGTACTGCACCCAGGAGTAGGCGCTGGGGGGGAGGAAGAGAGGGGCGATGGGAGGGGGAAGGGACTTTGAAGAAAAAGCTGAAGACGGTCTGCAGTGGTGTGATGTGGAAGGTGGTGTGAGATGTGCTGAGGTGGAGTTAGAGGGCACCTGAAGATGTTGATAACGTAGTCGATGAGAAAGAAGGAGCTGAAGACGGTCTGCAGGGTGAGCATCCAGTCCAATTTCGTGCTGGGATTGTACCTGCGGCAGGGAGGGGCGGAGGGAACGGGGCATAGAAGGGGGTTGAGTCGACTCAGAAGTCTGGGAGGGTAACCTGGAGAGGGGCAGAAACGCACGAGAGTGCGGATGGAGCGAGGAGTGCGTGATGCCAGAGTGAGGCGTGATGATAGCGTGATGGGGGTGACTGCAACATACACTACCAATTGCACTACCAATTCCCTTGACTTCTGGAATGTCGCACTCACGTTTGCCACACATAGAGCGAGACAGACCCCAGCGTTGCCACGACGTCAAGCTGTGGGGGAGGCGCAGAAGAGGGGGTGGGGCGAAAAGCAGAGGGTAGGAAGAGGGGCGTGAGGGGGAGGTGAAATGTGAGGGGGAAGTGCAATGTGAGGGGGAGGTGAAATGTGAGGGGGAGGTGTGATGTGAGGGGGAGGTGAAATGTGAGGGGGAAGTGCAATGTGAGGGGGAGGTGAAATGTGAGGGGGAAGTCCAATGTGAGGGGGAGGTGCAATGTGAGGGGGAAGTGCAATGTGAGGGGGAGGTGAAATGTGAGGGGGAAGTGCAATGTGAGGGGGAGGTGAAATGTGAGGGGGAAGTGCAATGTGAGGGGGAGGTGAAATGTGAGGGGGAAGTGCAATGTGAGGGGGAGGTGAAATGTGAGGGGGAAGTGCAATGTGAGGGGGAGGTGCAATGTGAGGGGGAGGTGTGATGTGAGGGGGAGGTGAAATGTGAGGGGAAAGTGCAATGTGAGGGGGAGGTGAAATGTGAGGGGGAAGTGCAATGTGAGGGGGAGGTGCAATGTGAGGGGGAGGTGTGATGTGAGGGGGAGGTGAAATGTGAGGGGGAAGTGCAATGTGAGGGGGAAGTGCAATGTGAGAGGGAGGTGCAATGTGAGGGGGAAGTGCAATGTGAGGGGGAGGTGCAATGTGAGGGGGAGGTGCAATGTGAGGGGGAGGTGCAATGTGAGGGGGAGGTGCAATGTGAGGGGGAGGTGCAATGTGAGGGGGAGGTGCAATGTGAGGGGGAGGTGCAATGTGAGGGGGAGGTGCAATGTGAGGGGGAGGTGCAATGTGAGGGGGAGGTGCAATGTGAGGGGGAGGTGCAATGTGAAGGTGGGGGATGAGACTATGAGGCTAATTCACACGCGGATGTAGTGAAGCACGCAGGAGAAGCAGCCATGTCATGGAGACAAGAGGACAGGCGGGCAGCAGGACGGCAGCAGGAGGGCGGGAGGAGGGCGGGAGGGGGCGGTACGATTTGGAAGAGGCGCGCGAGGGGTCCTTTGGAGAGCATGGCGCGCAGGCGCATGGGCAGGGGGATGCGGCCGAACAGAAACGCGTCGTCGTAGGTTGCCAACACGCCCTGCAGTGGGGGAGAGGGAAGGGGGGGGAGCCGGAGTTGGGGGAGACGGAAGGGGGGGGAGCCGGAGTTGGGGGAGAGGGAAGGGGGGGGAGGCGGAGTTGGCGGAGTGGGGAATGGCGCGCAGGCGTATGGGCAGGGGGATGCGGCCGAAGATGAACGCGTCGTCGTACGTCGCCGGCACGCCCTGCAGTGAGTGGAGGGGAGGGGGGGGAGAGCGGGGAGGCGGAGTTGAAGCAGTGGGGAATGGCGCGGGAGAGCGAAAGGGGCGGGGAAAGCGGAAAGTGGGAATTGGAATGGAGGGGGGCGGGGGAGAGATGGCGACGGGGATTGAAGGGGATGATGGTGCACGGGCGGTAGACAGCATGCGCCAGTCCTTCCCCAGCGCCCCTTCTCCGCGCCCCTCCCCCGCGCTCTCCCCCCCCCCCCCCTGTTCTTTCCCCTGCTGGGATCGTGCGCCTTGCTACAGATAACATGTGCCACTCCTTCCCGCTCCCTCCCGCACGCCCCGCGCCCTTCCCCTCCATTGGCCCTCGCGTCCCGCTAATCTGTCCACTTCTTACCCCCCCCCCGCTCTTCTCCCCCCCTACCCTCACCGCCCTTCCCGCGCCCGCCTCTTACGTCGGGGGCATCAACTCGTTTCAGCACGCGCTTCGAGGGCCCCTTGGACTGCTTCCGCTGCCGCAGGCCACTCCGCTCCTGCCACGTGGGCTTCCGCGCGGCGGACCCATCACCGTCCCCGCTTCTTCCGCCGCCTCCTTCCGCATTTCTCTCGTTTCCGCCTCTGCGCCCCTCTCCTTCGACTTTCTCCCCTTTTTGCGCGCCGGGGCCGGTGACGGAATCGGCGCGCTGTATTCCCGTTCCTGCTTCCCGACCGTCGTCGCATCGGCGCGCTTCGACAGTCGGGGCGGCAAAATCCGCCATCTCTCCTCCTCCTCCGGTCGACGTCCCGCGTCCTTCCTGACGGTTTTCTACCGAGCCGCCGCTCTGTTCGGCTTCCGCCAAGCGCTCTTCTCGCAATTCATCTTCGAGTCGCGCGTACGCGTCGCCTGCGACGCACCCGGAAGGCACGAAGCAAAGCGGAACCGCCTCGAGAGGCAAGCAGCCGGGTGAAGAGGCCGGCGGACTGCCGGCCATTCTGAAAACGGGCCGTCGGAATGCAAAGGAGAAGTTCTAATCAGACGTTCATGGGGTGATGCAGCAGAGAAACTGGCTTCGCGAGGAGAAACTGGCTTCGCGAGAAACTGGTTCTACACGTGCTAAGTTGCCTACCCGCCCCCCACAACAAACCCAAGCGGGAGTTGCTAGTGCCTGCACATTGTGGGGAAGGGAAGAATGGGATGGAGAGGTGACAGCTGAACGACGCGATCGTGACCGTCAATGGGAGGCACATCCATACCGAATCGCTTCCCGCCTTTGACAGGCAGTTTTCGCGCTCAGCCACAGACAGGTCTCGATATACGGTACGAGCGGAAAAGGTACAGATGGTTGGTTCCTTACACATGAAAATGATACACACGTGGTACATGATGGTGAAATCTTTATTAGAAGAAACTAAAGCGGGCACTACTTTTTTCTATTCTGGCAAAACACTGTAGCCAGTTACGCAACTCAATAAAGGAACGATACTAAACAGGACAAACTTGCAGCTTTATAGGTAGCAATCTACATACAGTGGACTACAGTAACTAAGGGAAGAACATTGGTGGTAAACCACACTGCCTTCACCACCTCATCTCCAGCCCCCAAGCAGGCCACCAAGTGGTAAACCACACCACCACTGCTTTAACCACCACCACTCGTCACCGCACACCACCAACCAACACCTCCACCACCACTTCTCATCACCACCACCTCCATCCAGGAGGCTAGGTGACACTCCCTCACTGCCAGCCAGCAGTGCCACTGCATGGCATGGCATGACATGCCTGCACCACCACTTCTCACAGAGAGGAGGGCAGTGAGGCAAGGCAGAGTGCTAGTGGAGGGGGGCTGAACCCCCTGCGTAAGGCGAGAGCAAGGAAAAAAGAAAGAGGTTGAGCCTCCCAGAGCATGGCTTGTGAGAGGCAAGAGAAGAGGACTGAAACCACCAGACCAAGGCAAGCTAAGGACAGAGGAGGGGGTTTCCTCTGCCCCTTGCTTGCCTTAGCCTGGGGATTCCAACCCCCCTCCCCCCCCTTGCCCTCACAAGCCTTGCCCTGAAAGGCCAACCTCCTTCCCCCGCCTTGCTCTCCCCACCACTCCCCACAGCCACTCGCCAGGAGCACCACAGCGGCAGCAGCAGTGAGGCTATGAGCCAGCCCAAGACCTGAACCCTCACCGACGTAGCAAGAGGGGAGCCCCACCAGACCCCCGGCCGCAAGGTCTGGTGTTCGTCCATTATGCCTTAACGTGCGGCTATTGGAATCCAGGCTTGGGACTGCCTCACAACACCACTGCCACTCCACCACCAACACCACCACCACCGCCACCACAGCCACCACCACCGCCACCACCACCGCCATCACCACCAACAGCACCAGCACCAACAACCCCAAAGGGTACCTGTCAGGTGGGAGGGGAGAGAAACAAAGTTAGTTCAGAAATAGAAGCACTGGAGCAGCAAAGGAGGGCAACAAGCCATAACACCTGAAGCAGAATGAAGCAGAATGAAGCAGAATGAGGAAGCAAGTGAAGCTGAATGTGAGAAAGCAAGAGAAAGGCAAGAGGCAGAACGACGCTTGCTGTCTTACCTTGCACTCAGTCCGCCAGTGGCAGTAACAGTCCGCTCAGCAGCAAAAGCCGCGTAGAGTGAAGCTGACCAACACCACTAATGCCGCCACCACCACCAACGCCGCCATCAGCACCACAGCCGCCACCACCACCACTGCCGCCGCCGCCTGCGCCTCCACCAGTAGCAGCAACCGTGGCTGAACGCACAACGACTTCCCCTTCCAGCGGCGGTACCTGTCAGGAGTGGGAAAGAGCAAATAAGTTAATCAACCCAGAGGTAGAAGCACCGGAGCAGCCAAGGAGGGAAGGCAGCGCGATGATGCAGAAACGAGAAAGCAAGTGAACAGCGAGAGGAATATGCAAAGGCATGCGAGGTTGAGGTGGAAGTCTTGTTGTCTTACCTTGCACACAGCCGCGAGTCCCTCAGTCCGCCAGTCGTGGTGAGGCGAGTCCCTTAATCCGCCAGTGGCAGTGGAAGTCCGCTCAGCAGCAGCAGCAGAAGCAGAAGCAGCGTGGAGTGGAGAGCAGAGAGGAGAGCCAAGGTACCTGCTGGGGAAGGAAGGATGGGGTGAAAAACACAAGTTAGTGGAGGCAATGGAGGCACATGCAGAGAGGGCGACTTGCGAAAACAAGCACACATGCGTGCAGGAACGAGCTCTGCTGCTGCGCACACCCATGGGGATACCTTTCTGTGGGGGTTATACCCTAAACCTTGCAGTCTGAACCTGTTACCTGGGGAGCCCTGGGGCGTGCTACAGGCAGCTAGAGCGATGGGAGGTGCATGAAAGCGAGACATTGCAGAAGCAGGAAAAGGCGGAGGCAGAGAGGGAGGGAGCGGAGGTACTCATCTTATCTCTTGCGTGGAGCGTGTGGCAGGCGGTCGGTCCAGCCAAGGAAGAGCGCCCTGCTGCTCGCCAAGTCACTGCATGCGGGTCTAGAGAAACCTGCCAAGGGGGACGGGGGGAAGGGGGGGTTGGGAGGGCGGGGGGAAAGTGGGGGTGGGGGGTGAGTAAGTACAGGCCACAGAGGGACGAATGGGGTGATGTGCGTGGCATGAGTGGAAGCGGAGGGAGTACTGCTGTCGCACACCCAAGGGGGTACCTTCAGTAAAGAGAAAACCTGCAGTGGGGGGTATACCTGACTACCAGTGTGAACCTAAGACCTAGGGGGACCCTTGGGTGTGGTGCGAGCAGGTGCGATGACATGAGGATTGCGTGGGCGAGATAATGATGGATGATGATAAAAACAAAAGCAGAGGTGGTTGGGGAGAAGGGTGGTAATACTCATCTTTGTCTGACGTTCGCTAAGGTAGCAGGGTTGCTTGCGGGGGTAGCAGGGACGCTCGCGAAGGCACCAGGGACGTCCGCGAAGGCACCAGGGACGTCCGCGAAGGCACCAGGGACGTCCGCGAAGGCACCAGGGATGCTCGCGAAGGCACCAGGGATGCTCGCGAAGGCACCAGGGACGCTCGCGAAGACACCAGGGACGCTCGCGAAGGCAGCAGACACGGAGACTGAAGGGAATGGGGGAGGGGAAGGTGGGAGTGGGAGGTGATTAAGTTAATGTCATTGGAGGGACAGAAGGACAAGCATAGGAGCAGCAAGGGTTGATGTGCGTGGTATGAGTGGAAGCGGAGGGAGTCCTGCTGTCGCACACCCAAGGGGGTACCTTCAGTAACAAAAAAACCTGCAGTGGGGGGTATACCTGACTACCAGTGTGAACCTAAGACCTGGGGGAACCCTTGCGTGTGGTGCGAGCAGGTGGAATGACATGAAACAAGCATGAATGAATGAATGATGGTTGCTGGAAAAATCAAAGGAAGAGGAGGTTGAGGAGAGGGGTGGCGATACTCATCTGTGAAGGCAGCAATGTCGTCTGCGAAGGCAGCAATGTCGCCCGCGAAGGCAGCAATGTCGTTCGCGAAGGAACCAGGGACGTCCGCGAAGGCACCAGAGACGCTCGCGAAGGCACCAGGGACGCTCGCGAAGGCAGCAGACACGGAGACTGAAGGGAATGGGGGAGGGGAAGGTGGGAGTGGGAGGTGATTACGGTAACGTCATTGGAGGGACAGAAGGACAAGCATAGGAGCAGCAAGGGTTGATGTGCGTGGCATGAGTGGAAGCGGAGGGAGTACTGCTGTCGCACACCCAAGGGGGTACCTTCAGTAAAGAGAAAACCTGCAGTGGGGGGTATACCTAACTACCAGTGTGAACCTAAGACCTGGGGGGACCCTTGGGTGTGGTGCGAGCAGGTGGGGTGACACGAGCATTGCGTGGGCGAGATAATGATGGATGATGATGAAATCAAAAGCAGAGGTGGTTACGGAGAAGGGTGGTGATACTCATCTTTGTCTGACGTTCGCGAAGGTAGCAGGGTTGCTCGTGGAGGCAGCAGGGACGCTCGCGAAGGCACCAGGGAAGCTCGCAAAGGCACCAGGGACGTCCGCGAAGGCACCAGGGACGCTCGCGAAGGCACCAGGGACGCTCGCGAACGCACCAGGGACGCTCGCGAAGGCACCAGGGACGCTCGCGAAGGCAGCAGACACGGAGAGTGAAGGGGATGGGGGAGGGGAAGTTGGGAGTGGGAGGTGATTAAGGTAATGTCATTGGAGGGACAGAAGGAGCAGCAAGGGTTGATGTGCGTGGCATGAGTGGAAGCGGAGGGAGTACTGCTGTCGCACACCCAAGGGGGTACCTTCAGTAACAAAAAAACCTGCAGTGGGGGGTATACCTGACTACCAGTGTGAACCTAAGACCTGGGGGGACCCTTGGGTGTGGTGCGAGCAGGTGGGATGACATGAAACAAGCATGAATGAAGGAATGATGGTTGCTGGAAAAATCAAAGGAAGATGAGGTTGAGGAGAGGGGTGGCGATACTCATCTGTGAAGGCTGCAATGTCGCCCGCGAGACAGCAATGTCGTCCGCGCAGGCAGCAATGTCGTCCGCGAAGGCAGCAAAGTCGTTCGCGATTGCAGCAATGTCGTTCGCGAAGGCATCAGGGACGTTCGCGAAGGCAGGAATGTCGTCCGCGAAGGCAGGAATGTCGTCCGCGAAGGCAGGAATGTCGTTCGCAAAGGCATCAGGGACGTTCGCGAAGGCAGTAGGGACTTTCGCGAAGGCAGCAATGTCGTCCGCGAAGGCATCGAAACTGCAGCGAGGGTGGGGGGAAATGGGTTGAGTTAGAACCAGTGGAGGGAGAGGAATAAGAGGAGAAGAACGATGCTAGCAGGAGGCGTGAGACAAACATGCTCGAATGGCCATGACATGAAAGCAACGCCGGCAGCAGCACACCCAAAGGGAAAACCTTAGTTTAAAAGTTACCAGCTAATAACCACACCTGGGCTTAACATTTTTGCACCAGCAAGGGGGGGACCTGCACGTACCTGTACGAACCTGATACCTTGTACCAAAGAGCTGGGTGTGCTGATGAGCGGGCGAGCAGACACGCGAAGCGAAGGCATGCGAAACGCGCGGGTGGGGAGCAGAGAGCAAAGGCGGGTCGGAGGGATACTTATCTTTATGTTGCCTTGACTGCAGCAAAACGACGTTGTCTACAGCAGAAAGGCGTTAAACCGAGCAGAACGGAACTTGGCCCGAAATGAACGGACGTTGACTCGAGCAGCACCAGGGACGTTCAATGGATGCAAATTAGCTCTGCGAAGGAACGGGTGAGGGAGGGAAATGAGTGCAAGGGACGAGACAAGCGACGGTGGGAATGGAACAAACGAGTGAATAGAACGAACGAAAGCTGCTGTAGCACACCCTAGGGGGGGTACCTTAGAAATTTTGCACCTGCAGTCGGGGAATGTGGGAACTATATATACCTTAACCACTATACCTGAAACTTGGGGGGATTAGGGTGTGCTACAGGCAGCGATGTGAGACTCAAAAAGAGATGACTGGAGTGGAGCGATACTCATCGTGAGGTGTGGAGCGGCCGGGTCGTCCACTGACGCGCCAGCACGAGCGTTGACTAAAGAGGAACGACATCCGCGTTGACTAAAGCGCATCCGCGTTGTCTGGAGCGCATCCGCGTTGACTGGTGCGCATCCGCGTTGACTGGAGCGCATCCGCTTTGACTGGCTCGCATCCGCTTTGACTGGAGCAGTGGCAGCGACGTTGTCTGGAAGCACTGCGAAGGAACGGTGGAAGGAGATAAGAGGGAAGGGAGTGACTGAGTGCAAGCGACGATGAGAATAAAACGAAAGCGCGAATGCAACGATCAACGAACGAATCGCTGCTGTAGCACACCCTTGGAGGGGGGGTACCTTAGGCTTAACATACCAAGTCCGAACCGGGCTAAAAAAAACTGTACCTGCAAGGGGGGACGGTGGGAATCATACCTTACAGTCTATACCTGAGACTCTTGGGGGGGCTAGGGTATGCTACGGGCAGCTGCAACGACGTGAAAGACGGAGGGACCTTCGTGATACTCATCGTTAACACGTGATTTGGAGCAGCACGGCCGTTGACGAGCCTTCACGGACGCGCCAGCACAGACGCGCCTTCACGGAGCATAGGGTCGTGGACTGACGCTTTAGCGCGGACGTTGACATAAGCGGAACGTCACATCCGCGTTGACCACCGAGGTTGCTACAAAGGAAAAAACAAAAGAAATGATGATTAGTTCGATGCCAGCAGTTAAGAAACGACCCGAGCGAAGAAAGCGAGGACACATTCAGCCACGACGTAACCTCACATTTCCCGAATAGGAGGTGTCGATCTCGATGTCAATGTCAAGTCGCGATCTGACGGAGAGTCGCGATCTTCAAGGTCTTCAACGAAATCTTCAACGGAGGAACGCGATTCCGAAGTAGAAATGTCGCAAGTCTGCACGACATTGAATGCGATCGAAATCAATCATTATGTCATTTGAAACAACAAAATAACACGAGCTAAAAAGCGGCAGTATCCGGATACGTACGGGCGAAAAGCTCCCGCAGGCGCACGCAACGAGAAGCAGTGGATGTGAATCTCGCGCACACAGTGCTCGCGCAGCGTCGCACATTATTCGACGCCTAGGGTCGTGAAAACGGCAAGATGCCATGAAGGGGAAAGATTCTGCAGCGAACTCGCAGTGTCGCTCTGCTCGAAGGCTAGAAGCTAGTGTGCGAGCAAAAGAGGAGCGTCATGGTTGCTGCAATAGAGGCCGCGGTTCAAGAATAATCGGAGGGCGAAACTAGAAATGAACGCTGCACGATGGAATTAATATGCTACGCGATTAGAGCGAGGTGGTGTGAGCGAGGCGAGATTGAGGCGAGACGACGAAATGGAGAGAGGACGCTGAAGGCGTGGTGAGAATGGAGGCGCGTTTGGCGCGGCTGAAAACGAGGGTGGGGTGAGGTTTTTTTTTTTTTTTTTTTTTGGTAGGTGAAATACCATTATACAACGTACAACGCAAAACACCGTCGGTCGTAACCGGAGCTAGAGGGCATAGGTAGCGTAAGTGTCTACCTGTCAGATTTATATGACATAGCTACTGTAGGCTATAGTGGGGTAGCACATATGGGGTACAGTTTTCTAGGGTTTACATTTGTACCCAACTTTCCCTTAGTCATTCATTCTCGTTTCTATTTTCACATGGTATCGAGCAGGTTCCCTCGTGGGAACTGTTCCTAGGGCCCACCAATTCGACATTTTTTTTCTGCCCGGAGCGCGCTCAGTCCTAGCCCGAGTCGCGCTCCCCCCCCCCTCCTTTTTTTTCTCGCCCCGTCGCGCCGCCCTAGCGGCCCTGTCGCCTGCCTTGCGGCCCTCGCGCCGCCCTTCCTGGCCCCGACCCGCCGCCCGGCGGCCTCGTCGCCTACCCCGCGGCCATCGCGCCGCCCTTACCCCGCCCCGATCCGCCGCCCTGCGGCCTCGTCGCCTACCCAGCGGCCCTCGCGCCGCCCTGCGGCCCTGACGCCGCCCTTTCCGGCCCCGGCGCCTACCTGCGGCCCCGACGCCTACCTGTGCGGCCCCGGCGCCTACCTGCTGGCCCCGCCACCTACCCGCGGCCCCGCCACCTACCTGTGCGGCCCCGCCACCTACCTGCGGCCCCGCCACCTACCTGCGGCCCCGCCACCTACCAGCGGCCCCGCCACCTACCCGCGGCCTTGCCATCTACCTGTGCGGCCCCGCCACCTACCTGCGGCCCCGCCACCTACCAGCGGCCCCGCCACCTACCCGCGGTCCCGCCACCTACCTGTGCGGCCCCGCCACCTACCTGCTGGCCCCGCCACCTACCTGCTGGCCCCGCCACCTACCTTTGCGGCCCCGCCGCCTCCTCTCAGCGGCCCCGCCGCCTCCTCCCAGCGGCCCCGGACGCCGCCCTCTCAGCGGCCCCGCCGAGCCGCCCAGCAGCCGAGCCGCCCAGCAGCCGAGCCGCCCAGCCGCCAAGCCGCCCAGCAGCCGAGCCGCCCAGCAGCCGCGCCGCCGAGCCGCCCAGCAGCCGAGCCGCCGAGCCGCCAAGCAGCCGAGCCGCCGAGCCGCCCAGCAGCCGAGCCGCCGAGCCGCCCTGCAGCCGAGCCGCCCGAGCCGCCCTGTCCGGTAAGAGCAGCGCCTCTTTCACAGCACTGCCCTCACCCTACTGTTTGCGCTGCTAGTCTACTGCTGTCATGGCTACCCCTAGTGTCCTCTCTTTTGACGCTGAGGGTCGGGCCATTGACTTTGACGTCTGGATAGATGACCTGCAGCTTTTCTTACAGTGCGATAGGGCAGACGGCCTCTCCCTCTTTGACCTCACTTCTGGTGCCTCTCCTGCCCCCGCTGCTGATGCTGACGCCACTGTTCGCTCACAGTGGGCCACGCGCGATGCTGCTGCACGTCTTGCTGTGCGTCGCCACCTGCCTACCTCTGAGCGTGCGCACTTTAGCCAGTACAAGAGTGCTCACACCTTGTACGACGCTGTAGTTGCGCGCTACTCCTCCCCTGCCACTGCTGCACTGAGCCGCCTCATGCTACCGTACCTCTTCCCTGACCTTGCTGCCTTTCCCACAGTCGCTGACCTCATTACGCACCTCCGCACTAGTGACACTCGCTACCGCGCTGCGCTTCCTGCTGAGTTCTGCGCCAAGAACCCCCCCCCCCATGTACATCACCCTCTACTACATAGTCACCCGTCTCCCTGACTCCCTTCGCGTAGTCAGGGACCACTTCCTCTCAGTTTGCCCCACCACTCTCACCGTTGACCTCCTCGAGAAGGCCCTCCTAGCAGCAGAAAAGAGCATAGTAGCTGTAGGAGCCTCTCGTGGTGACCCTCGCACCCCCATCTTTGAGGGGTGTTCCCCCTCCCCTCTTTTGCCCTCTATTGCCTCTGCTGCTGCGGCCGACCTCGTTGGTCTCGAGTCGGTCGGCGTTGCGTCTGCCCCGAGCGGGAGACGCCGCATCGGCAAGGGCAAGGGGGGCAAGGGTGCTGGAGGGGCTGGCGGGGGTGGCGGAGGTAGCGGTGGCGGCAGTGGAGGGGGTGGGGGTGGTGGTGGGAGTGGTGGCGGGGGTGGAGGTGTCGGTGGCGGCAGTGGAGGCGGAAACGGCGGCGGCGGTGGCGGTGGGAGCGGAGGTGGCGGAGGTGGCGGCGGTGGAGGAGGCGGCGGCGGAGGTGGTGGAGCTGGTCGGGGTGGCGCTGGGCAGAGGGTCGGCTCCGGTGGTGGTCAGCGCCAGCAGCAGCAGCAGCAGCAGCAGCGGCAGCAGCGCACTCGTGACATCCCCCCCCCTCAGCAGCTCCGTGAGTGGTACGCTGCACGCCAGCGGGGTGGGGGTACTGGTCCGTGCACCTACGTCCTACGCACCGGCGACCGCGCGGGTGAGCAGTGCGGGGGTGCGCACTCCACCCAGCGCTGCTTTGGCCGCCTGACGGACGCTTGGTGTCACCAGTTCCCTGAGGCCACTGAGATCCCCCGCTGGGGCGAGCTGTCTAGGGCGGGTGTAGCTGTCTTTGACCTTGACTTTGATGCTATTCTTGCTGCCATGTATGCTGTGACTATTAGTGATGAGGGTGACTGTTACCGGTGTTTTCCGCCCGACCCGGGCATTGAGACTGCTGCTCTAGGTGCTGGTGAGGCTGCTGCTCTAGGTGCTAGCGAGGCTGCTGCTCTAGGTGCTCGTGCGTCTGCTCACTCAGGTGCTGGTGAGTCTGCTCTCTCAGGTACTGCGTCGGCTTCGGCCTCCCACACCTTCACCCTTGACTCGGGGGCTTCTCGCTCCTTCTTTCGAGACCGCACCACACTCACGCCGCTTGGCCGGCCAGTTGCAGTCTCTCTGGCAGACCCCTCTGGGGGTCCTGTCCTTGCTCACTTCTCCACTGTCCTCCCGTGTCCGGCGACCCCCTCTGGCACCCTGTCTGGTCTTTACCTCCCCTCGTTCTCTACGAACTTGGTGAGTGGTGCTGACCTACAGGATGCGGGGGTTCACTAGTTCACTCCTGCGAGTCAGCGGGTGACCCACTGCACGGACGCTCGGACAGGCCGACACCTGGCCACGTTTACACGTCGGCCGGGGTCGAGCCTGTACACACTGACCACTGCGTCTCCTCCAGTCACTGCGTCTGGTCAGGTAGCTGCGTCGGGACAGGTGTTTGCTGCAGCGTCCAGGTCTGGTCCTGAGTCTGCCCCCTGTTCGTGTCGCCTCCTGTCGCACGAGACTCTCCTCTGGCACCACCGCCTTGGTCACCCCTCCCTGCTTCGTCTCCGAGGCATGTCCTCCCGTGTCCTTGTCTCTGGTCTTCCCCGGTCCCTCCCTCCCCTTCCTCCGGGGCCCGGCCCTACCTGCGTCCCTTGTGTCGAGGGGCGGCAGCGGGCTGCCCCTCACTCCTCCCAGTTTCCTCCGACAGAGGCCCCGCTGCAGACGCTTCACATGGACGTGTGGGGCCCGGCCCGCGTCCTTGGACAGGGTCACGAGCGCTACTTCCTGCTGGTGGTTGACGACTACTCGCGTTACACCAAGGTCTTCCCCTTGCGCAGCAAGGGTGATGTCACTGAGGTGTTGATCGACTGGATCCGCGCAGCTCGTCTCCAGCTCAGGCAGAGCTTCGGCTCGG